TATTTGAGCAGACTCTCAAGAGAAGAAAAGATACACCAACGTAGCCAGTGCTTTCAACTGTTTTATTGCTAAACTATCATGATACAAGCCGTATAAAAATACTTTACATATAGCAAAAATAAACTACATGAAACTGGAGATTAAAAACATTTTGCATAGGAATGTGATGTATTCATACTCCTTTTAACAGTCGAGATTTTTCAAAGCCAAAGCCTTCCAGCACCACCCAGTTGGAGAGACTTCTATTTGTTGTAGATCTAACTGGGACGTTCTCAACATTTGCTCCCCTCTGAGGGCTGTGGAGGTGACATGGGGTAAGTGAGGAGCTCGGGCGAGATGTTCAGGATGCTAAGCTTGCCTCAGCCACAGCCAATCAGAATGCTGAGAGCACCCTCTCTCATGGAAGCAGCATCATTTGCATCCAAACCCTGAACTAGGCAGGTGGAGTTTATTCTAGTCGGGCAGAGCATTAAGCCTTTCTTCCAGCACCCAATTCCCCCTCTCATTTTCATATGACCTTGCTTAGGGAGCATCTTGAGCTCATCAAGCACCAGAAAAGTCTGTTTTCAAACAAACGGAGTTAAGACAGTGATGATGGCTGTAACTCAGGGCACTCGTGAACACTGAGGGAAATGGACGTTTGCCATCACGGTTTTTTTTATGTGATGCGTCTTTTTCTTAAGCATTTAGTTGGGCTGTAGGAAAACACTTCCATTGGCTAGTCTGGCTCCATGAGACTGAATGCCCAAGCCCCAGCCTGGAGGACCCGAGATGTAGATGTGGTGGGTACTTGCTCAAAGGCTGTCCCTCAAAAAAAAAATGAGTTCAGGGAAGTTTACCCCCGCTTGTCAAGAATGTCATAGCCCCATGCTTCTTATAAACGCAAACTGAACAAAGTTGCTAACCAGACCCCTGATAGTCCTTCAATTCTGAACAACAGAAAGCACTTGGGAAGCATCTTTTGACATGAAAATAAACAAATTCTGCCTCCCTTTTGTCCAGAGTGACAATTGGAACACATCAGCTTCCGATCCTTCTAAGGGTGACAGCTCCCGCTCAGGCCAAGGCTGGCTTCCTGAGAACGGATGACTTGGCCACTGGGTGTAAACAGCAACGGCTACATCAGCGCTCCCAGTTCTCAGAAGGAATCAACTCGGTTCATCCCAGGCTGTGTCTGTGCTGGGGAGCTCTGAATGCCCTTTGCATAATGTGGGTGGGGGGAGGGGGTCCCCTACGAGGATTCGGTCAGCTCTGTAAACATTAGCCTGTACTTAGGTTCTGTGACCATGAACTTTTCTAGAATCCCACTACAATACAGGCAGTTTTATTAAGAAAAAAAAATAATCAAAATCACCTACTTATTGGGGGATCTAAACACTTTACTATTCTCCTCGGTGAGAAGATCGAGGCCAAGGGTTGACATTAGCATCCGTCTCAAGCAAGAAATTGGTGGTTCCTTCATCCACAAAGCCACCCTTTTTTCTCCTGAGATGCTTCCATCTAGGAGACAGGTGACTGACTACCAAGCTCTGAGGTGGGATTTTGGTTTGGTTTCTTTTTTTGGAATGATTAAGAGATTTTTCAAGAATACATCATTTCTCTTAGGGGGGAAAAAAATCATCAACATATACGTAAAAAGAGACACTTGAAAAAGACTTCTGACCATTTATAAATATTTTTCTAATTCCAGTAGGGGTACAATATTTTGAGGACAGATAAAAAGCATAAAAATACAGATAAGAAAATAAAATTTAATAACATACTAATTAATTTGGGTTGCTATTATATATTATCAAGCAGCAGCATTTTTGTACAATGCAGGAAGACTCGCAAACTTGGGAGATAGCGTACATTCAGCAACATGGTAGGTTTCTGTTGGAAGCGCTACACATTTACATCACCTTGAAATGTAGCAAGTGCAAACCTCCGCCTGACCGGGATCCTTCTAACACACGTGAAACACACACCCCTTCACCACTTGGACGTTGCTTTCTCGTTCTCTGAGAGGATGATTGCCTCTTCCCATCCTGAACATATTTCATGAGCATCTACTCTTGGCAGAATTTCCTCCGGGCATTTGTAACTGCCAAAACTTTCTCAATAGCTGTCGGTTCCTAACACACGTTCTGTTGCCTGTTTGGGTCTCAAAACAAGTGCTTTTGTTTCTCTTTCCTTTGCTCTTTGGGGTAGTTGTTTGATGGAAGTGCTTCCTATCATATCCAGCGAGGACGTCTGAGAAAAAGAGTTTGGGTGTGTATTATACACACACGCGCGCGCGCGCGCGCGCACACACACACACGTACATATATGTATATACATATATGTACAGGAGTTTGAACTATCAGGAAGCCCCTTTCATTTACACGGTTAGACGATTGATGGAAAATGCATTAGTCCTTTTTCACCCCACACTCAGTGAAGCTGAGTGGCTTGACGACAATAGCAGGAAGGCACTTGGGTAAAACATTCAGATAACTGAGGAAAGGCCAAATTCCCTCATGTGCAAAAAATGGCTCCAAGCCAGGTCGAGTAAGAACAAATCGCCTACCGAACACTTTAACTCTTCCCCCATGAAGTCTGTATTGCTGGAGAGAAAGGTCTTTAGGTAAAGCTGCTTAGAGGAGGAACTCTTTAGTAATTAGGAAGAATTTTGCATCCCCGAAGCTTTGCAGCAGCGGTCACCTTCTTGCTGGCATTCTGTGTAAAAGAATTTTGCTAAACTCTGTGCTTGGGGTGGGTGAAGGAGAAACTAAATGCTAGGTCTGGACCAACAGGTTACAGACAGGTGGGTGCGAAGGCCCCAACTTGGGTATTCTGTCCTATCTGAGGCACCAAACACACCAGGCCAAAGTCCTGTGCTCCTCCTGGCCCAGCTCTCAGGAAAGTTTGAGCTCTGTGTGACCTTGAGGAGAAAGCCAGGACCCACAGCATGCCCTTGACCGCCAGGATTGTCTTCTCAGGCCTTCTGCCTAGCAGATTGGATTGGGAACTCCTTGGCAGTACAGCCTTTTGAAGAGGGCTAGGAATATTTACACTTCAACTAGGGAAGCAAGTGAATGGCTGAAAACGAAGCTGCAGCTTGTCCTGGGGTGTCTGCAGTAAATGCAAACACAACACATCTTTGTGATAAACACCCAGCCGCTAAGAACTTCGAGGGTTTTTCTGGAGGAAGGCTCTGGAGGGCCTGGGTGTCGTCAGTGGAGAGAAACAGTGGGGGGAAGTCACACACACCATACAACTGGTCATTCCATCTAAGGGATGCGCCTCCGGGAGTGGAACTGCTTCTCTAGTCGGAGGCATCCTGTGCTAACGGAGGCAGCTGATACAGACAGATCTTTGGGGTCGAGCAAGGCTTTAAATGGGGGGAAAATAACCAATGAACTGTAGGGCCAGACCCTGAGCTTGGACGTCCCACTTTGAGTCTAGGCCAGAGAGGAGAGAATTCAGCCCTTTTCTTCTATCGTGGGAGAGCCCACTCACAGTAACTCTTAGGCCTGCCAATTACCTCATTTCACAACTATTTTACGTAACAAAAATGCCTACTTTTTTTTTTTCCAGGGAGGGGTTGCTTTAGGCCTTCTACCATTCCTTCTCAAAATTCAATGCACATGCTTGAAATTCTTCTTAACTACTTCATGGGAAAGCGCTGTTAGGAAGAAAGCAAGCAGGACCGTCAAAAAGCCATTAGGTTGCAGGCTGCGGGGGCCGGGCGCTCACTCTGCAGTCGGGTTCCCCTCTCCAGTCCGCGACCATGCGCCATAGGTGAGGGGCTGCTGGCCAAGACGGCACCACCTCTAGCCCCCTTGGCCAGCTGTTAGAAGCAGGAAAAAGAAAAAGTGTATACACATCATAACTTAACATCAAGAAGTTTTAACAGGTGACCTTCTATGGGCCAGACAGCGTTGCTTCAGAATGGGAATTGAAAAATACGCTTTAGCTGTGGCCCAACTGTGGCACGGAGCAGGTGAGCCCTGTGGCTAGCAGTCTGGCCTCTCTGTGTTTCTTCAGCCTGTAAGCCGGACTCTTGGGCCACGCTCCTTTGCTTGCTTCTGTTTGGGAACTCCTTTCCTTCAGAAGGCACAGAAGCTGTACTGGGGACCTGGAAAAATGAACGCAAGGGCTGGGGTTTAATCCCAGGGCCCCACATCCTCCATCCCCCCACCCAGCCCATGCCCCAACTCCGGTCACTCTGTTCTCAGGTGGGTTCCAATGTGCTGTCTTGTTCAGAATGCGTTTTGGGTCAGCAGGCACTTAAGGTTTGGATGGGATACCATTCAAGTCAACTGAGATGCTCTTTGGGATTTAAAACAAAAAATAAAAATAAAAAGGTAGAGTGTCCTCTCTGGTGTTTCCAGAGAGAGGTGGCGAGAGCTGCTGAATCGAGCGTCTGCTTTCTGCCGGGACACTGTCCCGCGTATGGGCTCCGGGCCAGAAGATGTACAGGGAAGAAAACAGAGGTGAGGGCAGTGGAAGGCTCCGAGGGGTCAGATACGGAGGGTGTCTTGCTAATGGCTTCTTCTACGTCTGATTTCTTGCGGGAGGTCCTGAAAACTCCTTCCTGATAATTTCATTAACTACAAAAGAAAAGAAAGAGAGAGAGAAAAGAGTAGGGGAGAGTGAGAGGCCACCAAAAAAAAAAACCACACAGATCAGATTCGCTTTCTAGAACCTAAAACAATTGCACTAATTTTTAAAGCACATTTTTGTTTTCTGCAACAATATGTTTGACAATTTTTAACACAAATACTTCCCTACATTGTTTGGGGTTTTTTTTGTTTTGTTTTTTGTTTTTGTCCTGGACAATAATACGTTGTACTCCAGATTTGTTGGTGAAAATTGTCCAGATGGTAATTTCAAAAAATCATGGCAGACATGGAGCTGGGCCACATAGCACGTTTTAAATAATGTTCTCTCCTTCTATCTTTTTATTTAATGCACTTGAGGCGCTCTGCTGTATACCAAACTCCTTCCATTAGTAAAACATCCAGAAAATGCCTACTACATGACTAAAAACCGTTCCTTGACACATAAAACGTACAGTTCTCAAAAGAGGGGCCTTTAAAAAGTGAGTGGGTGGGAACACCACAGACAAAGGCTAGCCATCAATGTAAACATAACCTCTCTTTCTTTCAGCAGAACCAGGAATCTCCCCCCCATCCCCCTGCCACCTCCATGTTGTGAGTCCTCAGAGGGGCCCTGAACAATTTGGTCACCCGTTTCCCCAAAAGGACACACGAGATTCCTAGGAGGGGTCCAGGAAAGCAATGCCAGCCACTAGCATCTAGCTATCCTGTCCCACTGGGCCACCGCTCCAGGGCACTAGTTCCTGGAATCAAGGCAGTTAGGTGTTAGAATAGCGGATCGTGTGGAAAAGGCTTCCTTCAACATTCTTGGAAAGCAGCAGCTGCCAGCAGTGGCAGCCCAGACACAAGGTGTGCTCATGCCCTATGGTGTGCATACACTTTCCGTTGGGCAGGTGAACTGTGTTGACTGGCCCTGGGGGAGAGGGGGGTGACAGGGGAGGAGGCTTTCTCCTTTGGGACCCCTCAAAGGTAGAAGAATCTCCCCTCTCCTAGTTCTGACACCAGATTCTTCCCACAGCCGCTGCCGCCTTTTTCTCATCTTAGCCTTTACCCTACCATTACAGGTGGAAAATTCGCAGCCAGAGTTCACTGTTGAGATTTGCTCAGTCTCTCCCCGTTCAAGCTGGGCCCTCCTAGGTCCAGGATGCTTTTCCCAGGAAGATCTCTGCCTGGATGAGTCCACAACCCCCATAATAAGAGGAGAGTGAATACAAACTGCTTTAGAGCTGGCTAAGCCAGGTTCGACTCAGCTCCCTCACTACACTGGCCGTGGGACTTTACCTCTTTGTGCCTTGATTTTCCCATCTGTAGAATGGGAATCATAATAGTGTGTACCCTTCAGAGCTGTTGTGAGGGTGCAAGGCATTTATGTGCCTGTAAGAGCCTAGCAATGCCTGGGAAAGGCGTGCAGTGGCCGTTGGCTGCACCGGTTACTGATAACCCCACGCTCTGTGTCAGACGCCGAACTCTGCTTTGTTTTGTGCCAGAAACCAGTCAGGCAGGGCTCGCTGTTCTTCAGATGCATGCTGGAAGCACGTGCAAGGTGCGTTCAGGTTCTAGAGCCAGGCAGCCAGGGCTAGACTCCCACCTGGGCCACTTGCTGAACCTCGCCTTCGGGACAGCACTGCTCCATGCCTCAGTTTCCCCCATCTGTAAACTGCATAAAAATGTTACCTTCCTTCTAGGGCGGTTGGTTTGTAGCGTAGTGTGTATGTATTAGATATGTGCGGATCTGTTAGAGTAGGATACATGTGTGTGAGTGTATGAGAACGTGTGTATTAGAATAACAAACATTTCCCATGTGTGGAAATGGATCCATTAATGGGGACTCAGAGGATGTAGTCCTATAGTCAGCTAACCAGCACCCATTGGGCACTTCCGGTGCAGCAGCCGACTCCCAGGGCCCTAAACCAGGAACCAACGAGGAACAGCTGCCCACACACCCCACCCTCTATGAAGGGTGGGGGGAGGGTGCTCTGGTGAGCTGAGGGCCCTTTGTGAGGCGCAGTGAAAACCCAATGCCAGGGGGAGGCGGGGTCCCAGCAGCTTCATGCGAAGCTTTTCAAAGCCCGGATTTTGAAGAGCTTCCTGTTTTCTCAACCTAGGAAGGGAGAGGAGTCAATCCTCAGTGGAAACTTTCCACAGCCTTGGCTTGCTAAAAATAGCGGGTAGGCAGAGATGCTGGCACCCCAGCCCGCACACAAGGGTCGTTTCCCTTCTCAGAACCCTGGGGGCCCAGGGGAGGGGATGGAAGGAAGTTGGGTGACCTGTGAAGCAGACAGGAACGGCTTTCCCCTCCTGCTTTCTGAAAGCCGTTTTCAGGTAGAAGCTCAGAGTCGGTATCTGGATGATTCAGGGAGCAGTGTGCAGACAGGCCCCCTCAAACCCCACTGAAACCTCCCTGGGTCGAGGAACCTTCTCTTTCTGACACCTCAGGGCTGGCTCCCCCGGCTGTGAATGAGGAGAAAGTTGCCAGCGCAGAAACACTAGCAGGGTGGTAGCAACGGCCATGCGGCCCTGTCAGTCTGAAAACTAGGGCTGCACGGGACAGAGAAGGGTCTCTTGGTGACCGCTTTATCCACCCTCAAGTATTCGGGGGGAAGGGACAAGAGAAAGGGAGACGTCATCGAATCAATTCCATGATGTCCGCCATGATCTCTCCCCCTTTCTCTTTCCCACCTTTTGTCCTTTGGGAGATGAGGGTCCCCCTACCCAGCCCTGTTGTCGCTTCATTCTCACGTCTTGAGTCTCACACCCTCGCGCTGCACCCCTCTATGTACCTTTGGATAAGGTGTCCCTTATCCAAAACCCCTGCTCTGAGCCTGTCCACCCCTGTGATCTGGTCCCTGCTCCCGCTGTGATCTCCCCCCCTCCCCCCACTGCACACCAACCACACGGCTTCCGTTCTGTGCTTCCCCCATGCCTAACTGCTGCCTCGGGGCCTCTAATGCTTTTCCTCCCCGGCATTCAAGGCTCTGCTTGAACACAGTCTCCTCTGGAAAGCCTGCCCCGGGAGGTGGATCTGCAGTGGCCACTTCCCTCCCCCATCAGTGCTGTCCCCTTGTCTCCTTCATTGATCAGCTCCCGTCAACCCTCTACTGCTTCATTTCTGTCCCTGTCCCCCTCTGTGGTCCAGCTCTTTACAGTGCCTGGGCACATAGTGAATTTTTCCTAACATTGATCAATGAGGGAGAAAACGGAAGCTTCGAAAGGGGTCGGGGAGCTTCAGGTCACACTGTCAACATGGGATTTGTCCCCGGGTCTGACTCTGAGGTCTGAGTGCTAAAACTCTATTCTGTGTCATTGCCGTCAGCATTTCATTCATTCAGTAAATGTTTTGAACATCTATCCTATGCCAACCTTTCTTCCCTCCTCTTCCCAAACGGGGCCACGTTCAGTTCTCCACATAGCCCCTCTCCCTTGTCTAAACCCTAGCTTTCCTCCTGCCCCGTTCCTACGCCACCTTTTCCTGGAAGCCATCTCACATTCCAACCGGGGTCCCCTCACTCCCTCCAGAAGCAAGTACAGTTGACCCTTGAACAACATGGGGTGTGGGGTATCAACCCCCCTTGCAGCTGAAAATCCACGTATGACTTTTGACTCCCCCAAACCCTAACTACTGATAGTCTACTCTTGACTAGAAGGAAGCTTTAACTGAAGAACATAAATGGTCCATTGACACGTATTTTATATGCTATGGATGATAAGGGAGAGAAAATACATTTATAATATTTATTGGGGGGAAAAATCCACATATAAGTGGACCCGTGCAGTTCAAACCTGTATTGGTCAAGGGTCAACTGTATTGAATTCTCAAAAGGCTTTGCTTGCCCCTCCTGTATCAGGTTATTTGGGTCACTGTATCCCCACTGTGCTATGCATAGCACCATGCACACAGCAGATGCCTAATGCATGCCTCTTAGCCCACCACAAGGACCCCCACACCATCAGCCTAGGTCACTTAGTATAAGGAAGCTGGTTTTCCTTCACCATCCAACTGACACTTGGGTTGCTGGCCTGTGACTTGTCTGAAACCTTTTCTCTACAAAACAATATAAGCTGTTCACTTTCATTGAGGGCTAACTATGTGCCAGGCACTGTACCAAGTTATTTCTCATCCCAAACCTCGTAATACAATCACGCTTGTTTTACAGATGGGGAAATGGAGACAGGCAGTCCCTTGCCATGGCAGGCGAAGGGAAGGGACCAGGATTTGAACCCAGGGCCCCTTGTATCAACCTGTATACTATTTGGCAACACGACTGGTACAGAGACTGTGCTATTAAGCACAGTTGTCATCATCACCTTTCTTCTGGGGCCCTGGAGTCCTCAGTGTCTTCTGTGTGAGTCAGGGAAAAGAGCAAGGGCGGCCTTTGCTAAGTCAATAGTGGAGAGGACCACGTGCTGCGTGGTTAAAGTGGTCACTGAGTAACACCTTCTTAGAACAGAATTGAGGCCAGTGGTCTTGGGTCTGCCACACGCACCCCTGAACTTTTATCACCCATAGAGACACCGTCATGAAAACACTGATGATGAACGTAACGTGTCCACCACCTCAGGGTGATTTCTAAACCTGATACCTGAGGCCACAGCCAGAAAGGACAAGATAGACAGATGTAGTCAGTACATAAAAATTATCGACTTTTTTCTTCAAAACTCCAAATAAATAAAACTATTCTAATAAATGGCTGTACATGTAAAGAGAATATAGGAGGGGGTCCCCAAACTTAATCTGTAAAGGGCCACATAAAAATAGTGTCATCTTTGTGGGTCCGAGGGCCCCTTCACCCTTCAGTTCTGCTGCTGTAACGTGAAAGCAGCCATAGACGATATGTGAGCAAATGGGCATGGCTGTGTACCAATAAAACTTTATTGACCAAAACAGGCCAGGGGCCAGATTTGGCCTGAGGCATAGTTTAAAGACCCCTCGTATACAAGTATACCAATGGCAAAGAAAATAAGGAAACTTACTTTTTGGGGGTGGCAATGCC